TTTACAGGATGAAATAATGTATCATCCATGCATACAATGAGCATAGTTGAATATGTCAAAAAGAACACATATACAGTGACATTAGAAAAGTAATTGAAACCTTGAACAATGCTATCCTCATAAATCCAATGTGATCTATTAATAAACTTATGTTTCTCAGTTGTTACAAGATAGAAAGTAAAGCAGGAAAAAATAATTATATTTTTACCAAACCATATTTGTACCATATTAATGATCCAACATACAACCAAGTAATGTTACTTTAAAGTCTATTTAACTTCAACATATATTGTACATCTCAGCTCAGACAAGCCATATTTCAATGTATGTCAAATATTAGGCAGTAATGGTTAGCATATTGTGTCTGTAATTCTATAGTATTTAATATGTATTTTTAATGTATGTGTGTGTATATATATGAACCAATATTTTAACACATACCTAAGATTTACAAATATTATCTCTTTACTATCTGTCTCTAATTTACCGACCGCCTACATATTAAAAATGTTTGGTAAGTAGTGGAAACATTAAAACTTGGATAAGAAACTATGCCTTTTTGAAGGAACTGTCATAAATAACATTTATTGTCTTTCTAACAATGTTTATTTTAAAAACCATTACCAACACTGATTATATTGCATACGTTTACAAGTCAAGTTGTAACATATTTACCAATCATTAAAATAATCATTATCTTAATTAAGTAAATAAGCTACAAATGTTAAAATTCCATTATGAAACTTGTGGCATTGATCTGTACTGTCCAGTGCAGCAGATGTTAGACATGTCTGACTAATGAACCTATGAGCTGATATTTATTTAATTTAGCTAACATTACATTTGGAATAAAAAGTTATTCCTCCAGTTTAAATACTAGAAACCTTTTAAATGTTTGTAGACTATATTCAGCATTATGAATCCATTTTTAATTGCTAGTAATATAAAATCTGAGCAATGAAGCAATGTTTTTCAAAAAAATCTGTCATGTTCAAGTTGGAATTTGTTTTAAGAGTATGATCCATCTACCATCACAAAAATATTAAAAAAACTAATTCATAAGTTTTTATTTGTTATATAAACATTATATAAATGTGGATAATTAAAATTTTTATAAAATGTCAAAAAATCAGGTGATCAAAACAGCCCCTACTTATTTCAGTGACTCATGAAGATAAGCTTGATAGCTGAACTAAATATACTTCATTGTGATCAACCCACAGATGATCCTCTGGCCTCTGGTCTAGACAAATCTGAAAATGAATTTGTTGCTGTATATGAATTAGGTGGTGGAATTTTGGTTATTTCTATCCTGCAGTTTCAGAAAGAAATGTTTCAGGTGAAATCCATCAAGAGGGGCAAAGGAGACAAATATTTTGACTTAGCTTTGTTATGGAATGCTGTAAAGGAGTTTGAGAAATACACACATTGATTTGAACAAGACAACATGTACTTTCAGAAGGTGACAAAAGCTGATGAGAAGGCTGTGATTTCTTCTATACAAAATAAACATCAACTTTTTATACCTTAAAATGGATGTTATAGACCCAAAAATTTAAATAAAAAATGACTCAAGCTCAATTTAAAGATATTGTCACAGATCTAACAAAGAGGACTGTTGTCCTATATCAGAAAGCTATGCAAGATGCAGAATTCAACTAGAGTGACATGGGAGAAGTGATCCTGTTGGTAACATGACAAGGATGACCAGGCTCTAGCTTCTTTTTTACAAAACCACACTAATACTATCAGTCCTGATTTGCAGTGGAAATGCCATTCAGGGAGGTATGTTGGCTAGTAATATTATGTTTCTGCATGTCACCCCCTACCTTTGGTGTTAGAATTCTGGGAGGTATCTTTACCAAACTTATTAATAGAAACAACACTATAACAAGCAAAAAGAGCCAGACGCTTTCAGCGGTTGCAGAGGAACAGAATAATGTGTGGTAGCACCGGTGAGAGAGATGGCTAGAGACAACAGATTTCCTGGACAGTTTACTATGATTAGAATTCCCTAACCTCTCCTTAAGTTATTCATATCAAAGTTACCCTTAATACTAATGCCAACAGAATTGTATGTTTCTGCCAAAGATAAAGCTTGACATATGAGTGACCAATTGTAACCTAATCGTCTGGAGAAGAAATTGAAAACATGGTTGGTATACAAAGAGTATGCTAAGGAAGACTAGAACAAGAAGGAACCAGTTGAAACAAATAGTATGGCTGAAAGAACTATTTATAACAGAAACCAAAATGGAAGAATTCAAGTATCAGCAGCATGCTGACAGGTGTAACAAACTAAAAGAAGAAATTTCTTGTCTTGAAAACAGCGAAACAGGAATAAACATTACGCAGGCATTTTCTACATTTCAACAGATATAATTTGGTTGTTCAAAATGGCATATAAAAAAGATGATATCTAAAAGGGAAGACTAGGAGTTCTAGCACCAAGGAGCCAAATGAAGATCAAAAGAAGGGTAAACACTAATAGCAACAATACAATTTGGAACCAAGAGGACAACATGCTATGAAGGTTAAGAGTGAAGGGACTTCCTAAGCAGAAAGGGGCAAATTTCAGTTTTTGCACTGTGCTTTTGCAGTATTCTTTGGATGTAGTTCCTTAATATTTAAGTTTAGTGAGATTTAATATGTGATAAATCTAGTCCTTCATGTTCCTGAGGAATATTTGTCTAGCTGTCCTCTTGGTCTGTGTCTGTCACTCATGTACTTCATTACTTTCCTTTTCCATCTAGACTGTTTTCTAAATATAATATGGATGGATATTAGAAGTAGACAATAAACATAATAGACATAGTTAACAATCAATCCACAAAGATTATAGAGGATAGAAAGAACAAAGAATATTCAACCCTTTCCCATCCAGCTCGTGCGGTGGTGGCGGCTGTTTCGGACGCCGGCTCTCTCGTTTCCATCGGGTAGACGCACTACCGCAAAGATGGTCAACGTACCTAAAACTCGAAGGACTTTCTGTAAGAAATATGGCAAGCATCAGCCTCACAAAGTGACCCAGTATAAGAAGGGCAAGGATTCCCTGTATGCCCAAGGGAAGCGGTGCTACAATCGGAAGCAGAGTGGTTACAGTGGGCAGACAAAGCCAATTTTCCGGAAGAAGGCCAAAACCACAAAGAAGATCGTGCTCAGGCTTGAGTGTGTGGAGCCCAACTGCAGGTCCAAGAGGATGCTGGCCATTAACAGATGCAAGCATTTTGAACTGGGAGGAGACAAGAAGAGAAAGGGCCAAGTGATCCAGTTCTAAAACTTGGGTTTTCTGGGAGGAAAATGCTGAAGCAGCAGAAAAATTACCAGTTAGAAAATAGTTAATTGTTATTGATAAAAAAGAATATTCAAAACAACTAGAAGAAAATCATCAAAACATCAAGAATGGGTACTTATCTAACAACAATAAACTTCAATTTGAATAGACTACATTCTCCAATTAAAAGATACAGACTTGCTAGATGTATTAAAAAATAAGAACAAATAAAATACCACCCCCACAAAAAAATTCTTTTCCACAACTTGCACCAACTGGAAGTGGAATGATAGAAACTGGCTTTACATATTGAAAGGCTCCAAACGAGAAAGAAGTAATTGTATGGGGGAAATTAGGGGTTAAAGGAGAAGGCCTATTCCAAGAAAAAGTATATGAAAAGCCTTGGGGAAGGATGTTAAGTATATCAAGATAGTACAACTCGTGTGAAAAGAGAGCAGAAGCAAGAAATGCTGAGGGTTGATGGAAGTGGCCATATGCTGGGGGAACAGGGGAGTGGAGAGGAGTGAATGGGTTAACGAAAACTAAGGCTACATAAAAAGCCTAATGGAACTCCACTAATTAATAAGATAATTTCAAAATATAGCTTAGTCAACAGCCTGGGGATAGTGAGGTTTTGGATCCTAGTAGAGAACCTACTACTGCCAATTTTTTAGTGAGAATAAATTATAACTGCATTCCGAATACTTACCTGTAAACCTACATATAAGTGTAGCTCTCAAACCTCATCGAGAAAGCTTCTTTTTCAAGCAGATTGAGACCATGACACAAAGCCATAACTGGCCAAAATACAGAGAACAATTTACTGTGAATTTCCTCCCCCAATTTATGCATCTACAACACAATTGCTATAACTAAGGCTCAGTGAACATCACAGAAGAGAGGAAGGGAAAAAATGCAAGAGCCAGTGAAACAGAAATCTACTACATGATTGTGTTTTTGAGATATGACCAAGAAGCTACACCCATGAAATCTTAAGAATTTGACTACCTAAACAAGACTTGAGCAGTGGCAGCAATAACTGACATGGTATTGTGATATGGGAAATATAACAGGACCCAGGCTTTAGATAAAGAGGTAAGTTAAAGATTAGTCTTCCTGTGGTGTGCCCTAGACATATACATGAGTAACTCTAAAATTATCAGCAGGGTGTATTTATATATTTATATGTTTATATGTATATAACAATAATACTTTTTTTAAAAGGTCATGAATTTTGACATGGACAGGATGGTGGTGGGCATGGAACAATTAGAATTAGGAAGAAGAAGAAGAAGAAGAAGAAGAAGAAGAAGAAGAAGAAGAAGAAGAAGAAGAAGAAGAAGAAGAAGAAGAAGAAGAAGAAGAAGAAGAAGANAGAAGAAGAAGAAGAAGAAGAAGAAGAAGAAGAAGAAGAAGAAGAAGAAGAAGAAGAAGAAGAAGAAGAAGAAGAAGAAGAAGAAGAAGAAGAAGAAGGATGATGTAAATACAGAACACATATATAAAATTTTAAAAATTAATTTTAAAAGAAGCTCAAACAGAATTAGTCTGCATGAATAGAAAGTGCCATTCCAAGAAGAAAGAAATTATTAAATAAAAATCACAGTACAAAGCATGGAAGGTCCCCCTACCAATGACTGATCAGGTAGGCCCCAAACATCTCCAAAACAGTTACAAGATAATGTCATTGTCCTTGGTTGCCCACCATAACTATATAGAAGATACTCCTGCTAAAAACACGACACACATACCATAGAGAAGTTGTGTTAAACAGAAAGAGAAACCTCTTTTCTACTAGCTTTCATGGTGCCAGAAGTTGCTATGTAGGCTTGGAGTACAATATCTATACTTGATTTTATGCAGCACTTGGCCTTGCATTCTACAATACTGATTTTTAGGCTAGATATGCCTACTGGTAAAATTTTGGCACTACTGTTATAGGTCAAAACTAAGTTCTTTCTAGTTGAATTTGAGGCCTGTTCCACAGGAGGAAATTTCATGCTTGGTCCTATAATCCTGGTCAAAAGTCCATGGCTGGGTTGGTCATAGGCACTAGAGGATAATCTTCTACTTTATTTTGTTAAGTGGTTTGGTATCAGATTGTCTTCATAGTTGTATTCTTTGTAAGGACTTAGGCAATGGTAAGTTTTCTGTGCTTGAGGGAATGATCCCATACATGTGCATATGAGCAACAGTAACTGGATTTAGTGGACTAGGAGAGTGATGTGTGAGGAGGATATGAGGCATGTTAGAGTGGCAGTAAGTATGGCATTTCATTGTATGTGTGTTAAATTTTCAAAAGTAAAGAATAAAGAAAATGTAAAGTTTTGCTTATTTCTGACAAAGTATACTTCAAAACCAATGCCAGAAGCAACAAGATATTTCTGATTGAGGGATTGATAAAGCAATAAAATATGAAAATTATGAGTTTATATGCACCCAATATTAGAACACCTAGCTTTATAAAACAAACATTATGAGACCTAAAGGAAGAGATATGTTTCAATGCAGTAATAGTGAGGAATTTCAAAATTCCACCTCCATCAATGTATAGATCACCTATACTAAATTCCATTAAGGAAATATCATATTTAAAGTATAGTTTAGATCAAATATACCCTTACGAACAAAAGCTATGGAAAAAGTCTTATCAATGAGTAGAACATTTTGACACCTTAAATCACATCCTGCGTATTTTATTATTACAATGCAGTAAAACAGAAATTCAAAAAAAATAGAAATGAAACAAATGCTTAGAAATAAAATGCCAATTTTTAACTTAAAATTAATTGATATTGACTATAGAAACTTATCTCATCATGTCACTTTCATTCATGTAACTATCATGCTTTAATTGATTACACAAACTCAAATATTTCTTTCACTCTATCCCACCTCTATTCAAATCCATTTCCTTTTCTAATAGTTCCTCTTCTACTTTCAGGTCAAGAGAGAGAGAGAGAGAGAGAGAGAGACAGAGAGAGACAGAGACAGAGAGACAGAGAGGGAGAGATTAATCTTCATCCAAACAGATAATAATCATTTTTTTACCATCTTGTAGGTGAACTCTTTACTTTGCTGATTATTATTTTGAAGTACAGGAAAATTTTATTGTGATACAATCTCATTTTCTACGTCTTGCTTTTATTTCTTGAACTATTAGATTTTAAAACATTAGTACCCATATCTATATCTCAAATGTTTTGCTCCAATTTCTTTAAAATTTTACATTTTTGGTCCATTTTAATTTTTGTACAGAATGAAAAGAATTTAGCCTCAATCTTCTACGTGTTGGCATACCTACCCACTTTTCCATCTCCAACTTCTCTTGGATAGCCCATAAGCCTCTCCCAAATTTATATCCTAGTCTTTTGTTTTTATTTATAACTCACTGATTCCAATTAGATATGTCCCCATTGCTCATGACTGTAAAGCCATTTACTGGATCATAGACAACATAAAAGAGGTCACAGCACTGTGGAAAAAAAAAAGAACATTCCATCTTCCAACAGTCATCAACTGCCAATATCTCTCAGGTAGGGGTGAGGCTTGGTGAACTTCTCCCTCATCCATGCTGGAATGTTTATTGGCTTGATATTATATAGATCTTGTGCAGGTAGCCCCAGATGCTTGACTTTATAAGTAAACTGGCCCAATCCTGTCATGTCCAGAAAACACTTTCTAAAGCAGTCTTCACCAACTTCTAGCTCTTACAGTCTTTTTACCTTCTTTCTGATAGTCCCTTTATTGTTCATTTCAAGAACACATATAATGTATTTTAATTAACCTCCATTTTGTCCCCTTCAATTTCTACCCTATCCTCCCAACACTTTCCTCCAACTTCATGTGCTTTTTTTCTTTAAAGCCAACAGTCTACTTAGTTTTGTGTGTAAGAACCTTAGGACGATCTATTTGAGCCAGGGTAGCCTCTCAGGTACTTTATTCTTGAAGGCAAAAAAACTCTCTTTCCCTTAACAACCATCAACTACAAGTAACTCTTTAGTTAAAAGTGAGATTTCACTACGTCTCCTCCCCTCCACACACCAGCCATGCTGGTATTTTGGATAGCGTGATCTTATGCAAGGCTTCTTGCAGCCATAGCTTCTATGAGTTCATGTATGTAACTGTGTTGTCATGTTCAGAAAATAATGTTTTATTTTTTTTTCAGATATCCACTGCCTCTAGCTATTATATTCTTTTTGTCCCCCCCAATGATCTCTGAACCTTAGGAAAAATAAGTTGATATATATTTCCTACTTTGAGCAGAGCACTTCACAGTCTCTTATTCTTTGTGCATCGAGCAGTTGTTGGTCTCTGTTTTAATTATCATCTAGTGAAAAAAGAAACTTCTTCAATGAAGGTTGAGAAATGCAATAATCTATGAGTATGAACATATGAACTTAAGGAACAGTTTGTTATTATGACCATTTAGTGGAATATTAATATTAAGTTCTCCCTAGACTCTATGACCTAGCCAGCCAAATGGTTTTGTTCCAGTTGACAGTAATTAACATGAGTTCTTTAAATCCAACCAGGAAGTAAATGGTTAGTTACTTTCATGATATTTATGTCCCTATTTTACCCATGAGTTTATCTTACCAAGCCACTTTTTACTGCATTTGAATAAGATTTGAGACATTTCTTCAATTTCAGAGTTCACAGATGAGTAAGACAATTGATTTCTCTCTCAATAGCTTGTAAAAAAACAGCATTATGGAAGCTAGAGATAAAATGGCCTTGTTGATCAAGATTGTATTCCTCATGTCCTATGACTCAAATAAGTAGTAGTGTCTTCAGCAATAGGCTCTGAGCATCAAGTTATAAGGGCTTGACTTACAGTTGTAGTTAGTTTTTGTCAAGTTGACACAAACCTAGATATATGTAACGGCGTAAGCGAATGCAGACAGATTGTCAAAATATAGACAGCTTTAATGGAGGAATAGACTTACAGAACCACTGTTCCCGTGGAGACCAGGAAAGCAGAAGAGAGCGCTGGGAGCACGCTCACCAATTTTATAGGA